CAAAGGGTTTACGTTAAAATATCGGAAACCATTGTTTACTGGGGTAACTATAGTCGATATTTTTCTGAACATTGTATAAGCGATTTCAGTATATGTGCGTGTATTCATTTTGCGAGTTGTACATTCCAAGAAGTGGATTCGCTGCGTGTAGTAAGTCTTATGTAAATACAAAGCTAAGGTTTGTGTTTAATTAAGTGTTAGGCGTGTGTTGTTGCCGTTGGTCAAGATAGGACCTACCCTAATCATCTTGTTGCACTTTAAAGAAGAACTCCCTCTACTGGACGAAGTATTCTAATATTATATGAAAATAATTTTAAACTAATTACGCGATATGGTGTAATTTCACAGTGTGGATGCGACACGGGCATATCTTTCCCAAACGGATAACGGAAGAGCGACGAATTATACAATGTATTTCTATTTTCGTAATGGATAACGAACGGACAAGCGACATGAATGTATGCTAAAAGTCAGTGGAAATAAGCCAGTGCTTTTGGGGTCCGTTTTTAATTAAAGGAAGGTGACCAAAGTACGGGTTAGAGAAATGCAATGTTTTAACACGTATCGATAATATTAGAAAAACTGGAACTGTACCATCATTGTTGTTTGGCCAACTTCTCATAGTGGTCAAAACGCACAGTTTCCGGCAATTCTGTTTTCCCAGCGAATTGAATTCGACAACGTTCCTTGCGGATATCTTGGTAGAATATCAAACAAGAAGAATATAGGAGTAAACGTTTTTGTCCGAAGCTTTCTCTCACTTTCGTCTGGCCTGTTTGTTTTGTTGTTAAGCGTAAAATTGCCCAACAGACTCTATGCTGTGTCCACCGCGGGTATTGAACCTCGAATTTTTGTGTTTGCTAATTCGGGAACGTCCGTGAAAAGGCTCTAATGTAGAACTAACGGTACAATAAGGTTGAGTCCTCATGCAAGTGAGATGTCAATTTGGATATACACGGAATATGACGTTTAACGCGAGGCCCTCTTTGCCGAATTAGCATAATGATGATGTTTTTTTTTAAATGTAAGCACCCAACATATCGAATGGTATAATTTTCTTGATTATATATATAATCGTTTAAATCGCTAAAGCTTTGCTGTTAAAGTAGCTGCGTAGCGTCGGTGCATGAGTACAAGTGTTGTTGTTTTCGTGTTTTTTTTATGCATTCAACGCTTCTCTTTTGTCTCGTGACATAAACACAACACTGCCTGCGAAATCTTCGACATCTTGCTCGAAGTGGCAGCTATTTTCCTAGGAATGTTTCCTACCGCCAGGGTCATATGCTGTTCCCCTACCAGACGAGGATCCCTCCTGACAATTTGCATTCTTTGGTC